AAATTTGCCTGGGAGAGTTGAAAGTATATTGTGGATTGAATGCTTATTTCCCTGCAGAATCCTTTGTTGAGATCCTAGCTATCAATGTGATGGTGTAAGGAGGTGGGGCCCTTTGGACATGAGGCCTTTTGGAGGTGATTAGGTCTTAAACATGGACACTGTGAATGGGATTAGTGCCCCTGTAGGCAAAGATGTGAAATCTTACTTTTGCTCTCTATTCTTGGCCATGTGAGGTTGTGAGGGGAAGACAACCAAAAGCAAACCCTGCAGGGGCTCTCACCAAGCGCCCTGTTATGCTGGTACCTTGACTTCCAGTCTTCAGGCCTGTGAGCAATAAATTTCTGTTGGTCAAGACACTCGGTCTGTGGTAATTTGTTATAGCAACCCAAACTGACGAAGAAGATGCATTTAAGATGGTTGGGGAAGGCCTCTGAGGGAGAAGCGTCTGAACTGAAATCTGAATGAAGTGAGTCACTGTGTTACCTGTGAAAATGACTCGAAACAGAGCAGCAAGGACTGAGTCCAAGACACTGGACAATCCTCAGCACATCTACAGGCCAGAGTGAGGCCATTGTGTCTCGAGGATATGGAGTTGAGAGCAAGAGCCAGATAAGCTGAGGCTGAGAGCTCTGAATGCCAAGGCAAGGTCACACATTTGATACTGTGAGAATATATTTGTGCTCAATATGACAGCTGCTGCCATGATTACTTGGTTAGTCATTTTTTCCTAGAAACTTACAGTGTGGCCCCTCCTGGGATCTTCTTTTGATGTTTTATATTTGGTGGTTTCTTAGCATGGTACGTCATTTTTCTTTTTGTATCAGTACACATTGAGTCCAGTCTATTCTAGAATTTTCCATGACTGTTCCTCTGGATTGTTTTCTTCTCAAATTATTCACTCTGGTTGCTGTGTTGGGGTTGGCATGTATGATTATATCTTTTTTTTTGTCTGCAGTTTGAGGTTTCTAATCTATGGAAGGCCCACAGAGAATTAATTAGAATGAATGAATTAGGGACTTGTCTTTACCTTAGCAAATGGATGTTGCTTAGTTTAGTGAATATCACCTTAGCAACTAACCATGACTGTAATAGCCTGATTTTTCAGATTGTGTCCAAGTCCTCAGAGCTCAAAAACAGCGGGAAAGGCAGAACAGGAAGCAGTAGCAGAGCATTACACCCCCCCCATTTATTTATTGATTATAGGGGGAGGAACTAGAATCAAGACATGAAGAAACCCAGCCTGAAACTTGCTGTCTTTTATTCAGCTCCAGTGGTGTTTCTTGTATAGCATCTCATTTAACCCTTACACGAGTTCTCTCCTCTTCTAGAGGAGACCAGTGAAGCTCAGAGAGGAGCATCTTTGCTCTCTGAGGTTGCTCTCACAGTTTGCCTGACTCTTATGTACAATGATGACCTCATTGCTCCACCTCGTAAGGGTTAATGAGAGTTTCTTGCCAGCAGCTCTAACTTGGGGATAAAGCTAGGTTCTGATTTCTGAATATTTGAAATTAAGGGTTTTGGGTTCTCAGGTCCTCCAATTTTTATGACTTCATTGGACTTCAAGTTTGTCCCCTCCTACTACTCACCTCTGCCCCTAGACATCATAGTGTACCCCTCCCCCCTTACTAGGATCTGTGTCATCTGTATTCTTTGTCTTGGGCCACAGCTGATGGCTGAAGTCTCTTTGCTCCATTGCCAGCTCTTTTAACCAGAGATTATACTGTAGATCCTCGTGGCATATGGAAGGTCATTGTCAAAGTATATATGTGACTTGCTCTTGAAGCTCTTTTAAATCCCCTTAGGTTGAGCTAGATGTCTAAGTTTTCATAGGAACAGGCAGGTGCCCTCGAGGCTGTGCTTCAAGGCAGGGTTTCCAGATAGCTTTCAGATGAAGGAGGTCCTGGGCCTTCCCAGTTGTGTGCCTGGCTCAGGGCATGTCCATTGTTGTCACTTCTAAAAATAAGCAGGCAGGCAGGCATACTTCTGGGGAAGCATGGGTCCTTAATAGACCTTCACACATGACCGGTAGCCTGTTTTCCTTTCATTGCAATTCACTTTGGGTACCACTGTGCACCCTGGCCCCTCTTGCCTATTTTCGTAACATGTATATAATAATAAGTGTTACTATTCAGTGAGTGGAAAATACGAAAATTGAAAATGGATGGAAGATTCATTAAATTGCAAATGAATACATTATCAGTGGGCATTTGATTCCAAGCAGTAGGCTGGTGATCGTGCTGTGATTCTAGTATAAGTATAGGAGGAAACTAGCACAAGCCTGCAGGTGTTAAGCGTAAGTGATTTTCCTTCTTTCAGGATGGCTAGTCTGCATTGTTTCATCCTTTAATGATAGCTAAAGGACTCATTGTCAGTCTAGCCCCATGGACCTTATACATTGTGGCAAGATGCCCATGCTGGCAGGAAAGTAACTATCTTCATTTTTACTCTTTTTACATTTACAAGTCTTAACATAGGGTTTAAATATAGGGATTTTATTTGCCATAGAAAACCAGTAGGTTTATATATTTGGGATGTGCTGTTTATGTTTTGAGTTTTGTTTGTTTCTGTGTGTGTGTTTTGTTTTGCTTTTTTAGACAGGGTGTCACCATGTAGTCCAGGCTGGCCTTAAACTTACTGTGTATCCCAGGCTGCTCTTAAATTCATGGTGATCCTCCTGCCTCAGGCTCCTGAGAACTGGGATTATAGGCATGGGCCACCACACCTGGCCTGCTATTCATATTTCTGAGACTAATTTAGAAATATATAACCTAACAAAGGATTTTTTGTTGCAAGTATATCGCTGCACAAGTCAAGTTCTCCATGAGGGAACTTGCATGCTGACAGCTTTGGTTTTATACAAAGCAGGTCTAGATAACACAGTTTTAGATGCCCAATATATTGGTTAGCATTTGGAGGCACTTTAGCATGTTGAAATTGCCAGAAAGGAACAGAAAAATGAGAGATGGCCAGAAAAATGCAGAAACCGTGGTTAAACTTTGTATGAGTTGAATGTAGCCATGGTAGAGCTGGATTGTGCTCGAAGCATCTGCTAACATTGGCAGTGGAGTTGGGAGTTTAGTACGCCCAATCAGCTACATAGCTTTCTTCACTCAGGGAACATGAGCTATTTTGATGTCCTGTTGCAGTAATTTCCAAACATTGGAACTATGAAATAAGTTATAATTGGAAAGAAATCTTCATAGTGTTGACAGTATCCACCACCCCCATTGGCTTTCTGTTTTATTCTTGTCTCTGTTGTAATTTTAGTAGGTAGTTTCATTGCTTACTAAAGATATTCATTCCATCTTGATTTTATCACCCAGATTCTTCCCAAAGATTACAAAAACAGCAGTAAGTGGCTGACTGCTGGCTTGCTATTGCTGTTATTGGCTTCAACCAAGCAGGAAGAGGGTGTTCAGTTTCTGTTGGAACTATCAGAAACGGGTTTGGGCAGCTTTGATACCCAGCAAGAGTAGTTTCAAGAAGCTTGAATTATGCCAAGTTGTAATCTGTGTTTCAGTTCAGCCTTTTAACTTTTAACACAACAAATCTTCCTGTCTTCCTCTAAATTCTGCTTTAAGGTAGGAGGACGGGTTTGATGGATTTACAGCATTCCTTCCAAACCACAAGAATGTTATTATTTGTAATAATATCCCCCAAAATGACTACAGTTTTTATTTGGGAAGTAGAAGATAAAGGTGAAATTATGTGGAAAGGCAGAAGGTTTTGTCTAATAATATCTGGCAACCTTATACATACATGTTTTTTCTTATTTGGACTTCTGTTTGTGGTAAGAGAATACTGGGATCTTGGCCATTTAGGCCGTTTAGGCCAAGAGGTGGGGTAGAGGGAGTGGAAGGAGGGGAACAGTATAAATTCACTAAATTTCACGTACCTAGGTAGACCAACTCCACTGTATTTGAGTTGCTATGCTTTCTATGTGGGTGTGTTTAAGAGAATTGGAGATGATCACTTGATATTTAAAACATAATGCAAATTTTAAAAAGTCATGATGAACATGTATAACTAGCTAAACCTGGGAGTCAGTTTCTGGAATTTGTGGGCACTAAATACCCACCAAATATTAAATTACTTGGTTTGGTATTAAGAGAGTGGCTGCCTGGCTCATTCAGTTCTCCTGAGTTTCCTGTTCTTAATATCTTTGACTTCAAGTTTTTATTGATGGAAGGTTAAATATTCTTTGTTTCTTTGCAACATATGACTAATCCTAATGGTTCTTTCGCTTCCTTTTTCTTTTTGCCCCTCCCTGCCTTCTCCCTTTCACCTTGTGGAATGAATTTTAGTACTTGAAAGAAAAATCACTTTTCCTTAGTCTCATAGAGTACATGAGTGAAAAATAGAGAATCCTTTTATACAACAGACCTTATCCAGTAGATACTGTAATCTATTTCACTTAACGTCTCTGTCTTCTGTTATTTATTTTACTTTGCTAAAATAGACTTGATGTTTGATTAGGATGTGGAAAAAAAATACCCAGTATTTAAATGGTAAGAGCTGTAGAATCCAGAAAAGGAAAGATGGATGAAAATTATTACTTTTCCAAAACTGGTTAACACAAGGAAATTATACTTTTCTAATTCATGTTTTCATTCATGTTTGTATTTGTAATTCTTTCTCCAAACTCGATGTTGTTTGGAGGCAAGACTTTCAGTATGGGGAAGTGACGGAGCCCACCGTCACTTGTCGAACAACACCTGAATGGAGGAGTGAGGATGAAGAAAAAGAAAGGCAAAGAGACAGAGTCGGGGGAGCTCCCAGCATCCGAGCTACTTTATTGACTTTATTGCTCTCTTTTATAGCACTCAGGAATAGAAAACATCTTACATAAGGCACATCTGGAAAGTCCCCAGGCCTTGAGACAGTCCCGTGTTTTCTTTTC